TGATCACACCATGCAATTGCAGAAACTAATAGTGAGCCAAACAAAAACAAGAACCTGCATCCTAAAAATATCCACTTAAAAAATAATAATTCTAGTCATTAAAGGCTGATAAACTACACTTTCAAGTACAAAAATGACAAGGTGCAAAGCTGCAAGTCTTATTTATGTTGCAAGTGCACTGCGTGTGCCAAACTATTTCTTAGACCAAGTCTGAGAAGAGCAGAAGTTACTGCTCAGGCTTTCTTATGATCTATTCTAGCAAGTCATATGTCAGCAATTTCAACATGAAATACACTCTTCTTGTCTTAAAATCTCCAAAGGTCCCAATGAATCCCAAAAATGAAAGAACTTTTGAATGACAGCCAGTAGGTGGCTGGACCTATGCCAAAAAACAGGTGAAGTCATGCCAAAATCACATTTCAGTCCACCGTCTTGATTCAAAATGCTGCCTGGCATCCAAACATTGATGTAGATCCCTACGCCTTCCTCAAGAACTTTTATACCAAGTTTGGCAACGATATTAATGTGTACACAACTAAAAAGTAGGAGAGCTAAGGAAGCACATGAATCCAAGACTTCACTTGGGATCCTTCTTGCATGTGCCAGTTCCATTGACTCATGGTTTAGTGTTATGTGTGAACTGGGCAACCGTGTCCTAACCATTTTTATTTTTTGAAAAGAAAAGGTATTACACTCCTAGAAATCCTATAACAACACATTAACTTAAATTTCATCCCATAAAGAAGTGATACAGGATGTTACCTAAAGAGTAACGTACTAGTAAGATGCTCTTTAAGCATACTGTATGGAACTGCAAAAATATATTCTGTACTAATAGGATAGTAACAGAAAAGTGCTCATCAAATCTTGGATCATATTTTTCTACCTAGATTAAGTCACTGCAGCTCTCAATTCTGAGCATTTTTGCTATGATTCAGGTGGCCTGCAAAGTGGAAACTGATGCATTGGTTACCATGGTAAATGCACACTCCTGAAGTTATTCAGCAATTGTGTTCAATGTCTTTCTCCTCCCACTCCAAAGAGTTCTGCGACACAAGGTTTAATGCTATTGTGCTTCTCTTCCCACATAGACCATAGCCAGGTAAGAGCAGCAATCTGACACACTTTAAGAAAACGGTCACATTTCCCATAGTTCAGGTTGACATTGTATATTGAAGGCCAGGTTTGAAGAAAAGTAAATAAGATTTCTATGCCCCACAAGATCATCATCTGCTCTCTTTAACTGAGCAGCCTTCTTCTCTGACTGTGAAGCAGCATTGTTATAGTGCGTGAATAAAAAATAAACAAATAAGAGCTTCTGTGCATTTTTCAGCTCCACTATTCATAACAGCATAGAAAATTTCCAAGGCATCTCGTCACATTGCCTATGTACCCACTGACAAGATCTATAAGCATACAGAGGACTACCACAAATACTAAAAATTTCTGGACACTGGAGACTGGGGAAAAGAAGAACTGGGGGAGTGAAACAAAGAATATAAGACAGGGGTTGGGAATCTTCAGCCCCCAGGCCTAATTAGGCCTCTCCATTTGGCCCATGAGGCAGTTTTGTCCAAGCCACTGCTACCTGCCCTACAGTTGACATCATATATAATTGTCAGGCATGGGCCAAAAAACCTGAGCTACAAAGTGCTGGCACTCAGCTGATTCTAAGAAGATGGGGAGATAAGGCAGCTATTTCAAGAAGGAAAGGGATTAAGGCTGGTGTCCCTCCAAGTGTGAAGGGGTCTTACTTAGGGAGGCACAGAAAGTGGCAAGGGGAGGTTTCATTTTCTCTCTGACACCCTCCCAGAATTTGCCATCTTGGTCCACAGTGCTCAGCATTGGTTGAGCAACTGCCTATTTCTCCAAAGGATTTGATTTCAGAACTCTAAAGCGTTTATCAGCACCTATAACCTATAACCCAGCTCCCTCCATTTCATTTTATCTTCTTGCCCCTTTGCCAAGGCCAGGATTTAGACCCTATCTGTACTACATATTTAAAGCAGTATCAAACCACTTTAAACAGCCAGGGTTTTCCCCAAAGAATCCTGGGTTAAGGGTGACAATAGTTGTTAAGAAATCTCTATTCCCTACCATTCCCAGAGTGGTTCAATCCCTGCCCAGGGATTGACTGTTAAAAAAAAAGGTGTAAAGCTTGTCATTGCCTACAGATAGCTCTCCAACCAGAGACAACTACTTAGCAGCAACAATAGTGTAATAAACATACAAACCTAGGAACTAGCCCCTGAAACAAACTTTAATGACAAATCTGTCCCAATATCTACAGTATATGAGAAGCACTATAATGGAAGAAACAATGGCAGCCATATCTTTTTGATAATTATGCTGACTGTTTTTAAAGTCTGTTTTTATCACTATTTACTTTATACTTTTATGTAAACCTACAGTTATCACTCTCATTGCATGGTATTTGGGCCTCACTTTGCAATAAAAATGCTTTCTATTCTTCTCAAAGTTTTCAAAAGGAGCAGTTTTTAAGTTACATTAGGCTACTCTCGCTCTCTCTCTCTCTCTCTCTCATATACACACACTTCTTCTTCTTCTTCTTTTCTTCTTCTTTCATACTTTTATATAGTGACAGCAACTACAAATAAAAAATATTGCAAGTGTTTAAAGAAGGCACTTTAGAATATAGCCTCTTTTTAAAATAGTACTGGCAATGCTAACAGGACATTGAAGCATGGGATTTTGTAGAAAATGTTGTACAATTAACAGAATGTTCTAATTGACTAACTGGATTTTAAATGGAAATATCAAATTTCCCCAATCCGTTAATAATATTGCCTGGTAATCCAGAGATTAATCACTGTCTTTTAGGCACAACACTTTCAATATTATTCTAGCAGCCACCTTGTCCAATAGGTAATTATTGCTTACTTTTTCATGGATGTGGAACTGAATCTTAGAAGTATTGACTAGCCTAAACCAGGAGTGGCATGCCTATGGCATTCCAGATTTTTCTGGCCTCCCAACCATATCTATCAACCTTTCCTTTTTTTGCAGGCAATTCCCTTATTCCAGCACCGTTTCCTGCTGCTTCCCGCTGCTATCCCAGATTGTTAGATATCCCGTAGACTGTCCCTGGGACAGGTGAGGCTGCTGATCCCTTATTTCTGAGGCTGCTGAGCCCTTATTTTCAAATCAGAAAGTTGACAGCTATGCTCCCAACTCCCCTCCGTCCCAGCCAGCATGGTCAATGATCAAGGATGAGCTGTAGGGGGACTACAAGTTCCCCCAACCTGCAAATCCATCATGTATCTGGGGCCTCAACTCAGCTTCCCTATGTCTCATCTTTGCACTGGGCCACAAGGTTATCATGTCACATTAATATCATATTCTCTCTGATGTACTCCTGGAAACTAAAACCTCTTGCATTGGAGCTAAATATTAAAAAAATCTACTTGAGAAATCTACAATCTACTGGGCTGCAAATGAATGAAAGTCTACAGACAGGCTGCTATATTCTAAATCACCTTTCAAGAACAAGAGCAAAGCACAGGAATTGTCAGAAGCAGATGTGCTGGGAATAGGAGCTAAGCTATCTGTCCATATGATCTAAGAACTGGACCCATTAACAAAAGAAGATTGCTGACTGTTATACTACAGCTGTGGCTACCTATTAAATAATAAAAAGCCCTCAACTAAAATCATTCCTGGACTGGTCAGCATGAAGCACAAGCACACCGCAGGGGGTGGAAATATTATGCATAGCTTTGTAGGTTCATACTACTTTCAACCCTGTAAATCATGTTACTTTATTGTCACCCTTTTGCTTTCTCCATAAATCTTTACTTCAGGGCAACTATATTTTGCATCTCATACATTTTTTAAAGTATTTGTGCAAAATGAATAAGCTTTGTGCAAAATGCTAGAGGGAGGGTGTCTCCTACTACTTCTTTAGTACAATATTTATGAGTTCTGGGAATTAGGGAGGTTGCAATTATTCCAAATGCAGAGGTCACCAAGAGTAAAGCTGATCCAATTTCTTCATTTATACTGCTAAGAAGACAGCATGTGGGTTACACACACACACACACACACACACACACACACACACACACCCCTCCACAGAATCAAATGTTTGGAAATGAGAAAAATACGGTACCTCTTAGATTGTTTCTATCTTACCAATATTGGCAAGTAAGTAAATCTACAAAGAACTAAATACACTAATACAAGGGAATTTCAATACTAAACTTGCAATAGGCCCAAAGCTAACTGGAACAGAAAATTAGGAAAGTAGGAAATTATGAAGACGGTAAGCAGAAAAAGATTCCTTTTCGATGAGTGAAAGATAAACTGTGAAGTCCTACTGAAATTACTGTATCAGCACGAAGTGAATAAATAAGCTGGAGAAGAAATGAATTCCTATTATCAGAATTCATTTACTCAGATGCTCCTCTGAAATGTAAACAAAGAAGCTATGTATGAAAAGCTAGGGATTGGGCCTCCATATTTAGGGAGAGTATATTTCTGATTGCCAGTTGAAAAAAGAGATTTAACAGTCTTTAGGAAAGTTCTTTTACCGTATGTGTGTATGTGTGTATGTGTGTGTGTGTGTGTGTGTGAGAGAGAGAGAGAGAGAGAGAGAGAGAGAGAGACAGACCCTCTCCCAAAAACTGATTAGAAACAGTTTAAAGGTAACTCTGGATGACACTGACAGCCATCTTTTGTCCTTTCCTTTGAATTAAACATGACTGACCCAATTTAAAAGAGGACTGGTGGAGTCTCCTGAGATTATCCAAGAGTCATGAAAATATTCTGAGGAGGAAAGGTGTGTCATTATCCCCAGGCTGTGCTCACTAGACTGTAATTAGAAGGACTATTTTCTCTTTTCACAGATGGGGCTCCTGGATAGTTTCCAATCTATAGCATTTATTTTTCAGCAGGAAAACTGCAATAGTTTGTTTGAGATGCACTGGGAAATTTTCAATAAACATTGTTTTGCATCATTGTGGATTTATCCTTTTTCTTTTGATCTATCTACTACTGCTAATCAGCATAGAATGATTTAAATTTTCCAGTCCTGTTTTTACTGGCATTATAATTTCACTGGAATCACTAACAGGCAGAGTTAGCAGTTTTCATGAATCTATTTTTGAATCCTGTGATAGATAAAGTTTTTTTCTTAAAGTTTGCAGTAGAAACACTCAGAATAAACAGTGGTATATTCAGCCTTATTTAGCATATTTAAAATCTCATGGCTACAGGGTACACATTAATTACAAAGTACTGTAATCACAGCTTATATACAAAAATATAAATAAAAAGAAAGCAAATGTTATTTTTGTAATCTGAGATTTGTAAATTACTATTGTGGCTCTGATGCTGTACTTCCCCTGATTTTAGCAGATCAAGTTGCTATTAAGTTTTCAAGAAAAGCCCAGGCTTTTGTTGAACCTAGGGCTCAAGTACATAAACCTACAAAATAACTAAATACACTGATACAAGGGAATTGCAGTACTGAACTTACATCAGGTCCAAAGCTAATTGGAACAGAAAATTAGGGAACTAGGAAATTATGACTTTCACTTGTCCTGTTTTCTTCTATTTCTTCCACGCTTTCTAGGCACAGGTCCAAGAAGTTTTTCTTTTGACCCGCCACCTTCCCTGGGAAAACCTGCTGTTTACTGCTGAATTATAACAACTGTCATTGAGCCCCATGTTAGTTGTAAATCGTATCTGAGGCTCAGGGTTGGTAAATCCAACTTGAGGTTCACAGCATTAAAAAGGCTGGTCCAACAGAACCAATTCAGAGGTATAGAGTTGTAACCAACATTCATCAAACTCAAAGCAGACCCTATTAAATTAATGGACATGACTGAATCCATCAATTTCAATGGGTCTACTCACTGCTATTTCTTTTAGAAAAAGGGGTTCTGGAACTCACCATGAACACCTCCCTTGTTCTCTTATAAATGCAATGGCACCCACCTGAGAGGTGCCAGAACTGAGTTCTGGGAAGCTCCAGCTGAAAAAAAGCCCTGGGCCTACTATGAATAAAACATAGTTGGATACAATCCATATTCAGTTGAAGGCAGGGTTGTGACCAAAGAATCAGCCTGACTGAGTCAATCCTGATGATACAGAGCACTTATGCACTCCCATCTATAGGCCATTATGAAATTGCACTATGTTTGTTGAGAGTGGGATGTTTCTCATGCTTCATTAAGTCTGCCCTGAGATTGTACTGTATGACTTGTAATGCACTGTAATGTATGTAATGTATGGAGGGAATCCTATCTTGAACACAGTCAGAACAGGCACTTGAAAGAGTTAATGCAAATTCAAATAATCAAGGCAGAACAATTTATTTATATAAGTTCAATGAGAACGTTTTCATGGTGATGAGCCCTTGTTCCCTGATTGCCCACGGGTTCTCTTTGTTTGCATAGTTTGCACGCTGCAAGAGAAGATAGCTGCAAGTTATATTTAGCAGAAAAATATCCTTGCTGTTGCATCTTCCTGTTCCCATCTCCCACAGCAAAATGTTTACAAGGCGGGGGGTGGGGGTGGGGGTGGGATTTGACTGCATGGTACTGGAAAGAGAAATACAGCTCCTGATTACCAAACAGTATGAACCTTCCAGGGAACCATAAAATGGCGTACATAATGAATATGCTTTAGGCAAAACAATAAGGCCTTTAATAATAAAAGATGAAGTATTATTCATAAAGCAAATAATACAGTGGCAGAGGAAGGGAGCTATGAAGTGCAAAGCTGCAGTTAAAAATTGTTTCAACTATCAAACCACCATAGGAGCCAACTCCTAGGGGCTGAGGTCCCTTCGGGCCCCAGCAATGTAATATTGGAGGGGCCTGCGCCCCCAGTTGATATGCATTGCCATTCAAATGGTGTGTTTGTGCCATGTTGTGGGATTGATTATGCAGGGTGGGGCTTACCTGGCCAACCGCAATATTTTATTGAAGTTGGCACCCTTGCAAACCATTGTATGTCTAGGTAAGTCACTCTCTTTTGATCCCAATCTGCAATAGCGGGTTGTAATACTTTGCAGGACTGTCGTATGTGAAGTTGCCCATCTACAGTGCTACATAAATGCTGCTTATCATACATTACTATTGCAGCATGATTGAAAACCAACGCAACAGTTACTTCAGTTGAAAAGTCCAGTGCAGGTCCCATGTTTGGGAGACCTTGGAGCAATACATCAGTCTTGGGCCCCCTCCTTTATTAAAGGATCACTCCTCGCTCTTCTCCCTAGCAATTACCCACACATACACCATTGCTAAGGTCCGTATAGTAAAAGCTATGGTTTTCCCAGTAGTATGTATGGAAGTGAGAGCTGGACCATAAAGAAGGCTGATCGCCGAAGAATTTGTGCTTTTGAATTATGGTGCTGGAGGAGACTCTTGAGAGTCCCATGGACTGCAAGAAGACAAGAACTTTCCATTCTTAAGGAAATCAGCCCTGAGTGCTCACTGGAAGGACAGATCATGAAGCTGAGGCTCCAGTACTTTGGCCACCTCATGAGAAGAGAAGTCTCCCTGGAAAAGACGCTGATGTTGGGAAAGATGGAGGGCACAAGGAGAAGGGGACGACAGAGGACGAGGTGGTTGGATAGTGTTTTCAAAGCTACCAGCATGAGTTTGACCAAACTGCGGGAGGCAGTGGAAGACAGGAGTGCCTGGCGTGCTCTGGTCCATGGGGTCACGAAGAGTCGGACACGACTAAACGACAAAACAACAGCAACACACCATTGCTACAAATCAAAGTAAATGGCTGCTGCTCCTCACAGCCACTAGCATTCATTCTTCACCCTTTCTGGGCCAGATGGAAAATGTATGAATGAGAGAGAAGGTGTGGAATAGAAGGGATGAGGAACCTGCGGCTCTGGTCAAAGATGGAGGGAGCTGTAATCCAGCAACTTCTGGAGGACTGCAGCTTCTTCTGCACAACGAAAGTGGCTTCCTTCAGACTCCGCTGATTGCACCTTGGCTCAGGAACATTGACAGTATGTGTGGTGTAATTGAGAGGGTAGAGTTAGGACATTGTGTTATAGGAAAGATGGATGAATGGAAGGTGGAACCTGATTGACTGAAGTACAGTGATGGGACAGATTACGTGAAGAGATAATGCAAGGCCAGATTTTCCTGGCTGCAACTCAAAATGGCAATAAACAAGGTCAGAAGAAGGGCTTTGTGCTTCGGTGGTGGGGTGGGGGGTGGCCTAAGCAGGGATAGGAATTCTACCTAGGGACAATCAATCAATGCACGGGTAGTAAGCCCTGACCTGTTGCTAGCAAATCTAGAGAGGCATAATTAAAACAAGTTCTCAATGCAAAGATTAAGGGGCAATATAACAAGTAATACAATGCTCAGCTGGAGCAAAATAGCAAGTGCAGGAACCTAACCCTGCTGGCCTTTGATGTCAACCCTGAAAACATTAACCAAAACAAACAACATTTGGAGTAAACTGATGGGCAAGGTGTTAGAAGTGTGAGCATCTTATATGAACATAATGCAAACAAGTATAGCATCTTGAAAATGAGCAGCAGTTTTAACATGCTTGCATGATTTTTCTCCAAAGGGCAGCGTAGGAAACTTCACCAGTTGCTACCCCCTCCCCTTTTCTTGGTGTCCCACAGTACTTCGTTCAAAGTCCCAACTGTTTTCCATTTTTAATACTTGCTCTGGTCCCATCCCAATCTTCAGACTGCCAGCCATACAAATACTGGTTATAACACATCAGTGATTTGTTCTGGTAGGAGTTCTGGAATCTATTTATAGGAATACAATGGGACCCCATGTTATTTGCAAGGGTTTTTCCACTTTTGACTGAAAGCCACAATTGCACTGGATTCCCTGAGACAGTCTGACTGCTGGCAGCAATGGAGGGCTAATATAATATAAAGCCACTACCCTTCTTAGAAAAGAATGTCCTTGGCTTATGGAGCATAAATTGTCATGGAAGAAACAATTTAAGGATTGTTAAAATTAAAGCTCACGGAATGATGAATTAAAAGATCTGAAGTTATAAGGAAACTTCTTGGCTTTGAAGGAAGGAAGAAAAAATTATCTCAGGGGAATTTTACCATATCATCTGGAACATAAATGGCAGCTGAAGATAATATCCCTGCCAAAAGCAAAAAAGCAGCAATGCTGTTCTATGCTGGGTTCCAAATTAAATGAATAATTGAATAATTAAATGAACTAAATGAATTTTATTGCATATTTTGCCGAGATGAAAAATAAAGCCCAACTCAAAAGGTCATACAAGTTCCTCGGATGATACTTAGAGTAGTTATTGACAAAGCATGCCTTCCCAAATCAGTAACAGAACTGTTTGATGTTTCATAAATGCGGGTATAATTAAAGCTCACTTAAGCTACATACATACTTACCCGGGAGTAAATTTGATTGAACTCAGCAGGGTTTACAGATGAACAGGCATGTCTAGGATTGCCAGCGGTAAAATTCAAAGTCATCTAGCCAAGTCTTCAGTAGGTGCACACCAATTTTTGTAGTACCAATTTAGTACTTACCCTTTGAACATGTTGATGAGGAAGGCTGAAATCCTGTTTTGTTGTTGTTTGTGCCTAGTCAGGTCACACACTAGAAAGGCTCTATGCAGCCATAGGACCTGTCTCACATTCTGAGAGCGGATTGGTATCATCCTTGTAGCATTGCAAACTGTTTCTCCTTCTGAAATTTACAGAATCTGTCAGAGGAACTGGAATCCCAAACTATCTATACAGACAGCTGCATTGCAATCTGTAAAACCAACTACAATAGTAAATACTGCATTGAACTTCTCAGCCGCCTTATTTAATAACACTTTAATTGGAAACAGCATTATACAGTCTGGATTAAATAAGAGGACATGATTTTATGTTCCATTAGTACTAGAGTGGATAAGTTCATCAAGGAGAACACAACACAGGAACTGCATATAGTAACGTTTGTGTAAATACATCCCCACGTGGAATGTTTGGTGACACAACTGGTAACACAACTGAGTTAGCCACAGGTCTCCACTTTTTCTCTAACATATCCTCCACATGTGGGGATCTGTGGCAGCTATCCAATCCACATGTTTGCTCTGAACTTACCAGAGTATCATTTGCTGTGAGTGACTACAGTTCTTTAAGTTTTAAAGTTCTCAAGACATGTCTTGCTGATGCTTCCTACTGCTACTTCAATTTTGTCTTCTCGACAGCTGCAGAGAAGCTAGCTTATAGCATCTGGATTACGCTCCCAGAACTGTATGCAAAGGCTGCAGAGTACTAGAGATGAAATTTATAAGATGTTCCCCTCATCTCTTGCGCAAGTTCAGAGAAGCCCCTGAACAGTAGGTGTAAAATTGATTGTCACATCAATTTTAAGGCAGCTTCTGAGCCCCTGCAATGATGAGAGGAAAGTCTTACTCTCTCTCTCTCTCTCTCTCTCTCTCTCTCTCCCCTTGCAACTCTGTTTTTGAAGCTTAAGTGTGTGTTATTTGTCCCTTCCACAAAAGCTGCAAAGAGCAGGGATCAAAGATTGACAGGACTTTTCGCCTCCTTGGCAAAGGAGTGCAGCAAAGCTCCTTCGTTGTGGTGGTGAAATTGATCATTCATACAATCAATGGGCTCCCCCCCCCTTTGTATAGATGAGGAAAAGGCTTTGTAAGAAAAGCTTTGTCAGTTTCATCCCAGCTCTTTGCAGCCTTCTCGCACAATGCTCATAGCTTAAGCAAGATGCTGTGTGTTCCAATTACTATTTCTTTACATCTGTGGTCATATCCACACTGTAAAAGGACCCCTGACTGTTAGGTCCAGTCGTGGCCAACTCTGGGGTTGCGGCACTCATCTTGCTTTACTGGCCGAGGGAGCCGGCACACAGCTTCCGGATCATGTGGCCAGCATGACAAAGCTGCCTCTGGCGAACCAGAGCAGTGCACGGAAACGCCGTTTACCTTCCCGCCAGAGCGGTACCTATTTATCTACTTGCACTTTGACGTGCTTTCAAACTGCTAGGTTGGCAGGAGATGGGACCGAGCAACGGGAGCTCACCCCGTCGCGGTGATTCGAACCGCCGACCTTCTGATCGGCAAGTCCTAGGCTCTGTGGTTTAACCCACAGCGCCACCCGCGTCCCATCCACACTGTACACTTAAAGCAAATTTAATGCATGTGGCTTTCTCAAGTAGTTTACCTTCACAGAGCTGCAATTCCCAGCACCCTTAATAAACTACAGTTCCCAGGATTCTTGGGCAGAAAAATTACATGTGCTTTAAATGTACGGTGTGGATGTGATCTGTAAAAAAAATGCAACACAATATGGAAGCTGCAGTAACACAATAGGGTAGTAGATAGATCGCCCCATCCTACTGGCAAAATCTCAAACAGGACATTACAGCCTCAAGTGACAGCAATTCCCACTCCAATAGACGTTGATTAAGTGACACCAATCTTGCAGTGGCATATGTGGCCTGCTGGATTGCCAGTCCCTCCACTGCATTCCCAATTGATCAAGCCCATCGTTTGACTGAAATGTGTACATTTATCCACTCATGTGTGTCTCTATCCCCCTTCTCCAATGAAAAACATCACAATCAGATGGACAGCAAAGGGGAATTGTTTTGTTAAACTCCTAAATCAGAAAGGCTCTCCCTTGACAGAAAGACCTCACCAGCTTGCAGTTCTTTTTCTTGCTCCGAAATTGATCACACTGCATTGTTCTGAACTCTTCATGATGGGCAGACATCGGTATCCTAAGAATCTGTGTTCATGATAAGGATATATAGGCACTTATATGGATACTGGCCTCCTGGTTTATCTGTGGCTATTAGTAAAGGTAAAGGTAAAAGTACCCCTGACAGTTAGGTCCAGTTGTGGACGACTGAGGGTGCACGCTCATCTCGCTCTATAGGCCGAGAGAGCCAGCATTTGTCCGCAGACAGCTTCCGGGACATGTGGCCAGCATGACTAAGCTGCTTCTGGCAAACCAGAGCATCACACGGAAACGCTGTTTACCTTCCTGCTGGAGCGCTACCTATTTAGCTACTTGCACTTGATGTGCTTTTGAACTGCTAGGTGGGCAGGAGCTGGGACCAAACAACGGGGAGCTCACCCCATCACGGGGATTCTTCATGATGGGCAGACATCGGTATCCTAAGAATCTGTGTTCATGATAAGGATATACAGTATAGGCACTTATATGGATACTGGCTTCCTGGTTTATCAGTGGCTATTAACAACCTGACAAATAAGGCTACAAGGTCACTGTCAGTTTAGAAAGATCATAAGAGAAGGATCAATATATTATTAGGAACTGTTAGATGGACATACATGTCCAGTGTGTCTTTGCTTTGGTAATAGTTACATGAATTGACTCTTTGTTTACATTTTATTTAGCAGTACCATTTTATTCACAAGAATCTTCCATTTATATGAACAACTGACAGGTCTGCAGTGGCCAGCAATATACATAAACTAACCAGGTTCACTCAATTTGCTGAGGATGAGCTATTTACTGCCTTAACACACATTAAATGGCACCTTTGGGTGAATGATGTGTAAAAGAAAAATAAATCCAAAGTGTGAGAAAGCAGCTATAAAAGACTCTGCTATTCCATATGGATGGCATGCAGTCATGAAGCTGCACGGAACACTTACAGAAGCAAAAAGCACGCCTGTGCTGTGAGACTTTAACAAGAAAAATGGCCAAATGCATTTTTGGACCCTGAGTGCAGCAGAGAGATTAAGGAGCAGTCCTATCTCTTGCCAGGAGTTGTAACTCAAGGATAGCATCATACTGTGAGGTAATCAGTAAGGATTTTATCACTTTAGAACATGATCTTAGGGCTAAGTAGAACTTTCCATCAGTTCCAATTAAGAAACAATGGTCTGTTAAAATGCTTTCATGAAAGCAATCAGTCCAGAGTTGGGAAAAAGCTATTGCAGAATAAAACTAGTTTTGTCTTTATACAACTACTTCCAAGAAAACAGGAACTAAAGTTGAATCATGACAGGACAGAGGTGCTGTTTCAGAAGAGGCTGCACTCTCACTGGAGAATTGTCACTGGAGCCATAGGTTGCTGGGCCTATTTTCAGTTATGGCTGGTTTGCCATCTACTACCATTCCTTAACAGGGATAACCTAGCCTCAGCAACCCATGCCCTAGTAACCTCCCAGCTAGACTACTGTAATGTACTCTACAAGGGGCTGCCCTTGAATACACTTCAGGGATTTCAGTCAGCACAGAATACAGTTGCAAGGATGCTGGCTAAGTCAGCTGCATGACAACAAATAACACCAGTTATTACAAGCTCTGCACCAGCTGCCTGTAGGCTTCCAAGCTGTTAGTTTTGAAGTACAGTGGTATTTCGGGTTAAGAACTTAATTCGTTTTGGAGGTCCATTCTTAACCTGAAACTGTTCTTAACCTGAGGTACCACTTTAGCTAGTGGGCCTCCTGCTGCCACCGCGCCACCAGCGCACGATTTCCGTTCTCATCCTGAGGTAAAGTTATCAACCCGAGGTACTATTTCTGGGTTAGCGGAGTTTGTAACCTGAAGTGTCTGTAACCCAAGGTGTCTGTAACCCGAGATACCACTGTATAAAGTCCTAAATGGCCTCTGACCTAACTATCCAATGGAGCATCCTGTCCATGACTGGAGAACTGCTGAGGATGGGGGCTTTAGGTTGTACCAAAGTCAAATGAAACCCAGGCTACCAGGAATGGTGGTAAAGCTTGGGATGGCAACCTGACTTTCTTTAGTTTCAGCAGGCACCGGCAATGCCAGTGAAAACATTCCTTTTCTACCATTCCTTTTGCATTTGGAATATTGGCCTTGTATTAAGTAGGGCAGATGGAGAGATGTTACACTGTATGCAAAATGTCTGATTTCTGGATTCTGAATTTTAGATTTTTAAAAATATTTGAATGGCAAGTTTATGCAGCTCTGTATGTTTTGAACTGCCCACCAATAATGTTTTGATGAAGGGTGGGGTATACATTTTATAAACAAATAAATAAATATTCCAAAACGCTAGCTGAAATAAGCGCATAAAATTGTTTTCTACAGAACAATTTCCCCCCCTTTGGCTTCAAAGCAGTTTCCCCAGCTGCATGAATATTTATAGCTCCAGCAGCTACAAGAGTTTACTTGCACTTCGTTGCATACATGCTGTAAGATGGAAATGAATAAAGTAATCCATAAAGTACTTTTAAAATACATTTTAAAATGCTTTATAACAGAAAGGAACATTTTAGGAAGATTAATCTTTCCTATGGGTAATTACATTTTAGTTTGACATATGCCACTCAGGTGAGCATAAATTAGCCCTCACCCACACTACTAGAGCAAAATAATAATAATAATTTACTTTTAACATCATTATTTCCAGTTTGGCACCACATTTACTGCAGGTTGTTGGGAACTTATATTTACAACAGCCAATTAAATGATCTATGTCTCTAATAACATACCTCTAACTCCTTGTTCTCCTTTTGCAGCAAAAAGAGTTCTATACTTCTAAGCAACAACCTAAATTTCTTCTAGTGATTTCATACTAGAAAACCATAGCAATGTTATTTATTTTCAGCAAAGCTTTCTGAGCAATTTCAATACCGTACTATGTTGGTGAGTCAAGATGATGATGTTTGCTGGTGTGGGTGGTTCGGTATAACCCTTTAAATAATTATGGGTTATTTATAGGACAGCCCAGGTGGGAAGACAGAATAAAACCATTGATCACTTGACAAAATATTCAGCATGCTCAGTTTTTAAATATCAAGTGACTGAAGGTTAGCTCACACATTCAAGCTGTTAGCATTGATCATCATGACCCATGGCATCTTCACATTTCCCATTCCTTACCGAGGCTTTCCATGATGCAACATAATAGGAGCTAATATACTTATTATTGAGCATTACTGCACTGAGCAGGGAGAGACTTTGTGCTGGCCAACAGGCAATGGCTTATCCCACCTGCCTTGTCCTACCCTCTAGCCCTAGGAGCCTTTTCCAGGCCATGACTTTAGGAACAGCAGAAGCAGCTGGGAAGAAACAAGAAGAGGAAGGTGTGTGTGTGTGTGTGTGTGTGTTGCATATCTTTGCTTGTCAATTTGTATTCTGTTATTTTATGTTCTGTGGATTGCTGTTATTTTTATTGATTTTTTTAAAAAATTATTTATTGTAATTGTTAAGAGTGAATTTCTGCTTATCGTTAGCTGATATTTAATTTTATTGTGTGTTATTATATTCTAATAGATTATTGAATATTACTTTAGTTGATATAAATTGTTTATTTTGAAGTTATGCTTTTACTATGACTTGTTTGTATTGGATCAAACTGTTATCAAGTGTGCAGTCTTTGTTGTATAAAATAATATTACAATACCTAAGCTGTGATTTTGCTTATTTGCCTTTTACTCACACACCCACTGTTGCATACTTC